CCGCACCCCTTGCCAAAAGCGGTGGGTAGCATGGTCGAGATTCCTCTTCGGAGTGGAAAAAAGAGAATGAGGCATGAGCTTCTGATTAGCAAAGATCAGGTGCCCGCACAGGGGCCACCCTCGGCTCCGTGTGCGGCAGCCTCCCTTGGTCCCCCTTTCTGTCGCGTGCCCACAGTCCTCAGCGTTCCAGCACCTTCTGGGTGCCAGGCCCGCTGGACAAGTGTTTCCAGTGGGCCGTGAGCAGAAGGGTGGTTTCCGTGTCGGAACCAAATCCTTGGCAGGGAGGTGGAGGCCACACCAGCAGCACCAGCAGGTGTGACCCCCCCCCCCCTTGCTTCCCGCTCGAGGCATTTGGAACAACCACAGTGAGTAATTATTAAGTTAATTGCTTGTCTTCCTCACGGAGCTCAAAGAAGGGAGAGACCCTAGGACGTAATCGGTGCCCAGTAAGTGTACATTGACTGGAACCTACCCTTGCTGTAAGAATTGAGTTTTACCTCTGCATTAACAAATTCCAGGTGTATAGTTTAACGTCAGAGAAAATACCCTTTTTCAGAAGGTATTTCTACCTATCATTCTGTACCTGAGCCCATTCAATGGAGGGGGAAGCTAAGGAGTAGGGGGAGGATTCAGGGAGGTCTCCTGCACCAGGCGGATGTACGGTAGACGAGCGACGATCACTGTGCTGTTTCACTCCTTCCCACTGCTGTGCCCAGGGCAGACATCAGTAATCAATCACCACTCTTTCCTGTCGAGCCCCGATGCAGCTGCAGAGTCCTTCACAACACACTTCCAGGATGCCCCTTCCAGGCATTGGAGAGGTCTGCAGAATCCCAAATTGGCAAATATCTCCACGTAATCTAATTCATCTCATACCTTCTGTCCAGATTTCTGACTCAGGACAGGCGCTGTACTTCTCTCTCTCATTTTCTTCATTCACCAGCATCAGCAAGTGTCCTTCTTTCTGCAGCCACTTTACTGGTCGAGTAACCCTGGTCAGGCCACTTTATTCTTCCCTGGACCTTCGGTCCTTGTCTGTAGAATGGAAGTAATTGTAAGCCCTGGCAAGACTCCATGAGACCCAGCCAAAGCAGAGCACGTTTAGCAGAGTGCCTGCGAGCACCTAGTGGGCACTCGAGAAATGATCGCAGTCTGAAAATACAGATTGGGCCCCTGGCCGCAGGTGGCACTGGGCTGGGAGCAGCCAGGGACGCCCAGCCCTCCGCAGAGGCGGGGGGCGTTCCGCAGCCTCTGGCAAGCCCTCCTCAGCACACCTGCAACCGGGGGGCCACCCTCTCTTGCCCTGGTGCCTCACCCCTGCAGTCACAGCCCCAGGGGGACCCTCCCCCACCAAAGGGCCTCACCTCAGGTCCGTAGCATCCAGCGAAAAGCCAGAAGGAGAAGAAAGCCTGTCATTTCCCTTCTCGCAGAAATCCACAAGAAATATTTCCAATGTTGTCATAGTTATAATAAGCAGCAGGCATCATCCAGGGAGGGGAAACGTGATGGAGCAATGCGGGGAAAAAATACCCTCGGTTCCTTTTTCTCCAGAGTGGTCGCTGTGGCTCTGGAGAAATCAGGGTTCCCCTGGGCTTCAGGGGGCGGGGACATTTGTCTCCTTCCCGATTAAGCTCTAGGGCGCAGAACGACCCCCCAGCGGGTGTACACGCAGACACAGTGACCCCGCAGACTTGCTCACATCACTGCCAGGCCTCCTCAGGGTGGGAGGTGGGGGGTGGGGGGTAGGGGGCCGGGGGTCTCCAGGCAGATCTGAGCGTGACCCTGCAGGCCTGGGGTCACCTGAAGGGAAAGGGCCTGCCAGACAGGAAGTGGGTGGAGAGGACACCCAGCGGGGAGCAAGGCCCCGGGGCCTTCTGCAGCTCCTGCCACTGTTCTGCGCAGCTTGTCAGGTGTGTTACCTGGGCAGGTGTGTTTCTTCTTCCCTGCCCCCTGCTGGGAGCATGCAGCTTTTTCTCTCTTTGTCCCTGGGCTCAGATTCCTCGCAGCTTCTCCATAGCTCCAGGTGCTCCCATAGCCACGTTCTCCTGCGAGGAGCCCAGCGGCCCTGGCGGGTGTATACCATACCTACCCCGCCTCCCCTGCTGAGACGGATGCTCAGAGCGCTGAAGCCACTGGCCCAAGGTCACAGGGCTTCCAAGCGACAGAGCTGGAGTGTGCCCAGTCCTCCGATCCTGGGGCCGTGCAGCACGGCTGTGTTGCCTCCTTGGGACACACACTGGACCCTTGCCGGAGCTCTGCATGGATGAGTAAATAAAACTGGTGGTAGGGAAGAAACTCAAAAAGTAAGAGGCAAGAAACATGAAATCCGGGAGGTAGTTTCGATGTGGGTCAGTGTGGAAAGAGGGACTGCCTTCCTGTCCCTCCCCTCCAGCCCCTGAACAGCTGTCTCCCCCTGGCAGACCGTCTGCCCCAGGGGTCCAAGACCCCCTCCCCCATCCATCCTTGGCTGTGCACCCCTCGATGCCAGTATTGCCCCTGGGGCTGTTGTCCATCAGGATATGGGGGCCTGATTCTTGTCAAGCGATTGTTCTCCCTGGATCTTAGTTTCCTCATCTCTAAAATGGATCAGTGGTAATGCCTACCAGGCTGGGAGCCATGACGATAACAGCTAGGAGCTACACCTTGTCATGTAGTAAGTGCTTAATAAATAGGAACTTCTTTGTGGCTGTCGTTCATTTCTTTTACAACTTGAGTATAGTCCCTGCCAAATGGAATCACCATCTTCTCTGCCTTTAGCCTTTGTTTCCCTGAGAAGCACAGACCCAGGGATGAGCTGGAAATCGCGCTGATGGGCTCCCCTAATTCCTGATGCCTCTAGCTAGGAGAGGTGTCTTGTTGGGGTCAGAACTTGGCTTCCAGAGTCACACTGGCCACGTTGCCACCCCTGTGACCTTGGACGAGTCACATCTCTCGTCCAAGCCTCTGTTTCCGCTGCTGTAGAATGGGGAGTTATTATAGCATCAGTCTCGAGGTTTGTTTCAAAGTCTGAGCAAAACCTCGTCACATGCTTATTTAGCCCCGTGCCCAGTGAGGGACTGTTTTTAGCAGGATGTTACTGCTATCTTGGTGGATGTTGTTGCTATTACTTCACGGTGTGTGTGTGCGTGTAAGTTGGGGAGGGAAGGCTTGCCCATCAGAGCTCTCCTCCGGGAAGGGAGCCATGCTTTTCCTGCCCTTGCTCCAAGAGCCCCCATTTTGCCAGTGCCACCAGGCCGTGTCACAAGTGCCTGAGGTCATCGAGAGGGTCAGGAAAGTGTGGGTCTGGCCTAGTGCTGCCCATCGCCGGGGCACAGCCCTTTCAGGGAGGCAGGGACTGCCCGGGGGCTGCGAATTTCCTGGGGTGGTATCTCACTATGGCCCTGCCTTCTGATAACCTAGACCAGGGACCTTGAGAGCGAAGCTGGACCCCGCTGGGGCTGTGGAAGGGTGGGCGTGCGGTGGGGAGACAGGCATTGAACTGGTTATTGCAAGGGGAATGCTCTAGAAGATGTCCGTGGCCTTGGGATGCGTCCACTTTTTGGCTATGATGAATAATGCTGTGACCATAGGTGTGCAGATAAGCACTCAAATCCCTGCCGCCGATTCTTTGGGGCATATACCTAGCAGGGGAGCTGCTGGGTCATGTGGTAAATCTGTGTTTAATTTTGGGGGAGCTACCACACTGTTTCTGCACAGTGGCCGCCTGCATTCTGCATCCCCCCCGCTCCGTGCATGAGGTTCTGGTCCCTCTGCACCCCCTCAAGCCCTAGTTCATTTTCTGTTCTGATAGTCGCCATCCCCAGGGGTGTGAAATGTCCTCTTCTTGCGGTTTTGATTTGCATTCCTAGAGGTGGAAGGTGGATTAGCGCTTACCCTGGGGCAGGGGCTGGTGAGCGGGGAGGGTGTGCTACAGGGACCCAGTTTCAGTTGGGGAGGATGAGAAGGTTCCAGAGACGGATGGTGGTGGTGCTGGCGCAACATTGTGGGAACATTTCATGCTACTGCACTGTGTGCTTAAAAATGGTTAAGAGCATAAATTTTATATTACGTATATTTTACCACAGTTTTTTTTTTTTCCTAAAAGGAGGTGCCGCACTGGAGAAACCCAAGTTGACGGGCATTCTGTTAACACTCCCGCTCAGCTCCTCAAAACTGTCAAGATCTTCAAGGACAAAGAGAGGGAGACACTGTTCCCGAGTGGAGGGGGCCAGGGCGCTAAGGGGATGCATATAATGGGGGGTCCTGGCTAGGATCCTGGAACAGGAAAAGGGCAGTGGGGGGGACACAGTGAAGTCCAGGTGAAGGGTCACGGTCAGTGACTAAGTCATGTACCAGTGCTGGTCTCTCGATTGTGACCAGTGTCCATGTTCCTGAGGATGTTAGCGTGAGGGGAACAGATGAGGGTAGAACAGGGGTCCCCAGAAATCCCTGTACTATCTCTGCAACTGTTTTGTAAACCTAAAACAATTTGAAAATAAAAAAGTTTAAAAGGAGAGGGATGAGTGCCTGGTCTGGGTGTGAGCGGTCAGGGAAAGCCCCCACCCCACCCCACCCCCCGCCGCCCCAGGAAGTTCCTTCCGAGTTAGGACTTTGATGGTGGGGTGAGGCCAGTCTTACATGGTGGGGGGTCCAGCCCACCTGCTAAGGGAAGTGCCCTTGCCCCCCCATAATCCCTAATCTACTTTCTGTACTGTGAACTTGACTACTTTAGGTACCTTGTGTACGTGAAGTCGTACAGAATTTGTATTTTTATGACCGGCTTATTTCACTTAGCATTGTGTGTATGTACCCTGTTTTCTTTACCCATTCATCTTTCTGTGGACACTTGGGCTGCTTCTACCTTTTGGTTATTGTGAATAATGCTTATATGAACATAGATGTGCAAATCTCTCTCTGAGATCTTTCAGTTCTTTTGGGTATATACCCAGAAGTGGGCTGGCTGGATCATATGGTGGTTCTATTTTTAATTTTTCAAGGGATCTCCATACTGTTTCCTATAGCGGCTGCACTATTTTACATTCCCACCCGCTGCTGGCCGAGGCCGGGCACGCTTCTCAGCACTGTGCGGTGCCCAGGACAGGACCACGAATGAAGGATCCGGCCCCACACGTCCGCAGGGCCACAGCGGAGAAACCCTGCGTGTGAGTGAGTGAGGTTGCAGGGGTGGGGGAGGGCCCGTTCGGGCACGCTGCCATGAAAATTGAGATGAGCGTGTCCCAGAAGAAGAAGAACAATAACCACAGCAGCAGTTCGTATTTAGTGAGCGCTTCTCAGTATGCAGACAGCCCCAGACGTGCCCGTTCGGCGCACTCTCAGTTAAACCCGCCCGAGCACGAGGCTGCTGAGAGCGTGTTGAAAGTGGGCCGCACACAGTAGGGCCTCAGGAACCCGAGCTCACCCTCCTTGCCCACTGCAGACTCGTGGCCTGCAGCCCCTGACTCGGCTCCCCTTCAGTGTCTGTTCGCCCCTATGCTTTGTCCTTGCAAAAGCAAGGCATGAACACTGGTGGTCAGGCCGGCAGACAAGACAGGCATACAAACAGCCGGCCCCTCCCAGCGGAACCTGTGTGGCCGTGGTTGTGAGGGACGGGGTGGGGTTACCCAGCAACCAGGCCCGCGGGTCCTGCCTACTTCCCTGCCGCCACCAGACTTCCTTCTGCGTGGAGTTTCCAGCTTCTTGGCACCAAGGGCGTGCTGGGCAGAGGAGAGGGTGTTACTGCTTTGTTGTTTTATATTCAAAGAGAACAGCAGGCCTGGCCCTGAATATGACCGACCGGGTTTGGGGAACGAATGATGATGACAGGTTATTACTACAGTAGCGACAGTGGTTGTTTATTGAGCACCTACTGTCTCCTGGGCATCTTGCTCATGATTGTTTTGTTCATCTTCTTTGAGGACCCGCTATATGCCTGGCCGGGGCTGTTCCAGGCACAGGAGATAAAGCAGTGAGCCTGATAGGCAAAGTCTTTTGTTTTCATGATCCCTACATTCTGGGAAGGAGAGGGAATAAATAAGTGAACAAATACATAATATTTTAGGTAGCCATGGGCGTTCTGAAGAAACACGGCGGGGGAAGGTGACACAGAGGGGACTCAGGATGTCATTTCCTGGAGTCAGGGGAAATATTGGAACAGAGCCTTGAACTAGAGGAGCCAGCCGTGAAAATATTTAGGGGAAGTGTGTGTGGGGGGGGCGGGGGGGTGTGGGTGGGTGGGTACCACATGTGCAAAGGCCCTGTGGCAGGAGCGGGATTGGCAGATTTAAGCAACTGCAGGGAAGCCAGTGAGGTTGGAAGAGAGTGAGTGAGGGGGATGGCAAGGGCTAAGGCCAGAGAGGGTGGAGCTGGGCAGGTCATGGAGGGTCTTACAGGCAGTTGCCAGGGCTTTGGGTTTTCTTCTGAGTGAGAAGGGAGTCACTGGAGGGTTCTGAGCAGAGGACAGGCACAATCTGACTCAGCTGCTAGATGGAGAATAGTCTAAAACTCTAATCCAGTAGTTGTTAGCCACGTGTGTGGCCATTTAAATTTAAGTTAATTGAAAAGAAATAAAGTTGAAAATTGAGTTCCTCAGTCGTGGTTGCCACATTTCAGGCCCTCACCAGTCCATGCAGCTAGCGAACATTTCCAGCATCACGGAAAGTTCTCTTGGCAGTGCTGTCTGAGGGATGTGAGCATGCGCACCGGGGCCCTGCCAGGGCTGCCAGAGCAGTCCAGGCAAGAGAGGAGGCTGATACTTGGTCCCTTGGCAGCACTGGCAGTGGCCGTGACAGGTGGTGGGACTCGGCACTAACCTGGAGGGAAGGAGGACTTGCTCACGGGTTGGATGTGGAAGTGCGTTGTGGGAAAGCCGGGAGCCTCTTGGTGACTGTTGGCTGGAGAGGCCACTGCGGGGTGAGGGTAATTATGGCTCACCTGATTGCGCACGTGATGTGCGCCAGGTACAGACCGAGTGCCATACGTGGGCCTCCTGGAATCCTCTTGCCGGCCCCATTTTCCAGAAGAGCCAGCTGGCTCCGCAGAGGGGCGTGACCTGAAGGGCTCACCCTGCTCAGGGTTCAAGCACCAGGATTCAAACCCCGGTCTTCTCGACTCTGATGCTGTTCACAGGGAATGCCTCACTGGCACTTCTCTCATCCCAGAAGCCACGCACGAGATCCCAGACCCTCCTGCCCTCAAGCAGATTCATTAGGGACCGACCTGTAGTGTTGGCCATGCTGGGCAGTCGTCTGGCCGTGGGCCTCTTGGGCCAGGGCAGTGCTCACTGGGCTGGCGCCCGTGAGAGTGGGTCATGCAGCAAAGCAAGGCTGCCGTGATGTCTGCCCCTTACTTCCCAGCAGTGCTCTCCCCCGTCGTGGGCAGACTACCCCAGCTGGGCTTCTGAGCACCCTGAGTGGCTCACTCATCTGTCCAGGGCTGATTCTGCTGGCACCAAAGGCTCCAAGTTCATATCTCACAACCATTCTATGTGGGAGGTGGGCATTTCTCCCATTTCCCCCACATTTTCCAAATGTGGAAACAGGCTCAGAGAGGTACAGTCACTCGCTCGAAGTCACACAGCCATGATGTAGTAGAGGTGGAGTTTGAACTTAAGGCTCTCCGTTTCCGAAGTCCTTGCTCTTCACCGCTTGGATCCACTGCCTCAGGCTGAAGCATGGCGAGTAGGGACTCCTGTGGAGGGTTGTGCAGTTTCAATTTCAGACCTCGTCCCGCCCATGCGTTGAGCGGGCTGGAATCGCATGTGCCCTGGCAAGGCACTGACCCACCCAGAGGAAAGGGCATCTCGCTCTTTGCACAAAGACTCCCCCAGCTCACCAGGCCATGACCTGTATTATCTAAGCGGGGGCTCATTTTCTAATTCCCATAGCCTGGCTGGCACCCGGGATGGCTGGCACCTAGGACGGCGGACCCAAAGAAATAGCGAGAACATAGCAAAGCCTGGAGGGCTGGCTGGGGAGGCATCTTGGCTCAGTGGTTACAAGCTTGTGTCTGGGAGCCCACAGTCCTGAGTTCAGACCCCAGCACCGCCTCTTTTGCCTTTGTGACTCAGGCAGCTCGTGAATTTCTACAAGCTGCAATCTCCTTTTTGTTGTTAAAATGGGAATGTTGGTAACAATAACGTCTTCCATCTGGTAGGGCAGCCCTTTTCTGTCCAAGATGTGGCCCATGGGCTGGCAGCATCAGCCTCACCTGCACGTCTGTTAGAGATGCAGGCTCTCAGACCCTGCCCCCACCTCCTGCCTGACAGCCTGGATGTTCACAAAGCACTCCACGCAGTCCATCCGCACATTAAACACAGGAGACTCCGGTGTGGACGGAACGAGGTGATTCAGGCACCAGCGAGCACAAGCAGTACGCTGCTCTTGGTAGGCATGTTCTGTCTCCTCATTAGTGGTGTCGTCTGGAGCCGCCGCCGGTCACGTACTCTGAACTCTTGTCACTTCAGCACTTCATGGTGCCGAGATGAGGTGCCCTGGAAAACAGATCAATACCTAGAAAAGGTTCTGCCTTTGGCCCGGCTCCTGCTGCGAGTTGGTGCTATCTGGCCACTTATTGCTCCTTGAAGGGCCAGATTTCCACTGCAGACCACGACCTGGAGACCCACAGGCCAGCCCCTGAGCTGGCCTTTCGCCCCTCTCCTTGCAGTTTTAGGACAGAGTGATGTATGGTCTGAAGGAGCCCTGGGCTGGGTGGGCTAAATAAATCTCCCAGGGGAGGAAAGAATGCAGCGCTCACACGGACAAGGGTGCTGGGCAGCCCAAGAGGGACTGCGCGCGAGTAAAGATGTGTTTGCACTGGGTCTTCGTCAGCCTTGCCCTCGGCACCCCCACTTAAGTTGCCTTCCTTGGGAGAACTTTCCTAAGATGTGTTCACGAAGACCTCCCGAGACTCCATTTAAGAGCGTGCGTGTGTATCTTTGTGTGTGCGTGTTATATATTTAATGCTTTCAGAGCAGAAGTAAAACCACAGCACTGTTAGAGCGGAATGTCACCTCCATGTACTGTGGTTCTGAGCCCCTCCTGGCATCCCCCAGAGGCTGATGGGGGCCATGGATGACGAAGATGAGAAGGAGCAAGCTCTCTGAAACCCGCCGCTCTTGAACTCGAGCGTATGCAGGCAGCGTGGGCATCTGTTCTAGGAGCGTGGTTCCCGGGTGTGGCGACAGTGGGTTGGGCTGCTCTGTGTTTTAAATAAGCAGAGCCAGGTAATGCTGGCTGATGCTGCTGGCCCTGCAGATCCACTTTTAGGAATTGGGTATTGGGGAAAGAATCAGCACGTCGGGCCACGTAATAGGTACTCTATAAATATTTAATGAGCGGAGGCATATTATGTAGGCATGAATAAAACATGCAAGAGCTAATGGATGAATATACGCAGAGTGAGTTTACAAATGACAGTGTGCTGAAGGAGAGTGTCTGAGAAGCAGGGAGTGGTGTGTGCTGGGGTGCGTGGATGCAGGTTGGGGTTCGAGGACAGCAGGGCTGGAGCAGGGGCCTCCAGAGTGGGCTAAGTGAAGGGTAGTGCTCTGAATGTTCCAGGAGGGAGCTCGAGACATTTTCAGCAAGCACAGGCTCAGTTCCGGAAGTGAGGCAGGAAGGGGACCGTTACCATGGAATCTCTAGAAAGTCCCTACTGGGACCAATGTCAGGGCAGCACCGTGAACTTTAACCCACAGTCTGGGTCCCATCTGGGCATAGAGAGATAGCTTTGACTACGTGGCCGACCTTCCAAAGGGAAGTTTGTTCTTTTGGGTGTCATTGGGCTTAGAGGAGAGGAGCCTTTCTCCCTAGTCTCTACTGTGTAAACTATGCATCCTCCAACACCCACTGAAATATGCTGCCTCCAGATAACCTTCCAAAGTCTAGGTGCAGATCACAGCAGCCCAACTCGGGGAGCTGTGGGAAGGCGATTGAAGAAGGGACTAGAATCCCAGGGCCCCTTCATCTCCATTTTTGTCTGCAGTTCTGCAGCTCCACACTGGAAAGGAAGGAGACTCTGCTCTTTCTCACTCTTGTGTCCAGGCTCCCAAGAAAAGTACCCCATGTGGCCAGGCTTAGGGTACATGCCGACCTCTGGACCAGTCGCCGTGGCCACCAGGCAGGGTTCTGGCGAATGTGCGCAGCGTCCTATGGTAACCATGGTGACC